TTATCCCTCCCCAACATTCTTTTCATTTCCTGCCTGATACCGTTACAACACCGTCACACAAAAAAACTCATATTCACTGACTGGCCTCTGGCCTCTCTTATCCCACAAACTTCATTTGTTCACGATGCCCTCAGCGAAAGAATGGATGCCAGGCAGGTTTGATCACGCAGGTGCCATCGAAGTGGGTCAGATGTATAACAAGGAAAAAAGCATTTGGCCACATCATAGTTCAAAATAACCAGATGCATTCTAGACAGGGGTGTGCGCACGTTCATCTCATTTAAGAGTCATGCTGTAACATGGGCTTTTCTTTCAACGGACTGTTAAAAGTGATGAGTCAGACTTTTTCAGCTTATAATTTCATACAGCAGAAGGGTAAAGGACTTTAGGGTAGCCGCTAGGGATGCACATTTTGTTAAGTCTGACAGATAAATTTAGCAGAACACTCAGGGTGGCATGATGGGAATAGGCGGAGTATCACTTTTGTGCTGTATACAGCCAGCATTTAGCTGATTCATACGGTTTCAACAAATACTAATAAATGATAGCAGTTCAAACATTCAAGTTAAAAAAATAAATCTTTTAAAAATCACAATGTATCAAAAACTATACCAATTCTGTTCAATTCCATTAGCATAGGTATTACTGAATACACAAACATGTCCGGTGTATTGAACACAAACTACAGTCCATGTAGAGCTGCTGTCCCAACTCTAACCAATATAACTGCAAGACACTGTCCAATAAGCCATCATAGTGAATTAAAACTGAAATGTTAGCCGCTGAAAAAAAAAAAAAAGGCTTAGCAAACAGGTTAAATAAAAAGTCAGTGTGAACCCATAATAAAAAAAGGTTGCAAAAAATGTTTCATAGAAAGGAAAAAAAACACACACAAAAAACATTATATATTGAGCTGGGCAAAAAAAATAAATAAAAAAAGACAAAAGATTGGAATAATTATGGATTAATTAAAGCATCACATGATCCTTCAGAAATCTTTCTAACGTTATTTTAAATTGAAATAATATTTCATAATATTACTGCTTTTACTTAATTTTTTATCAAATAAAGGCAGCCTTGGTGAGCATAAGAGTCCCTTTAGAAACATTTAAAATATTAATTATATATAGAATTATCACATTAATATGGGGCCTTAATATGAACCCATAAAACCACCATAAGGCAGAACAGTACTGTAATTTTATTTTTTTTACTTTTACAATATCTGCTTAATTGTGGTTGTTATTATTAGGGCCCATGCATCATCATTAAAAAAAATCTACCAGTTGTATCTAGGTTGTGATGTGAAATACTGATTACATACTGCATCTGTTGGTTTGCCCAGGACTTTAATTATCTTCAAGTAGTGAAGCTCTTTTAATAGTTACTGTACAGGTACAACCAGATACAATGAAAGCCGATTTGAAGTACTGCCATTGTAACTAATTATAGTGCCAAAAACGTTGCTGCCATTGTTGTCACTTCCAAATACTCATCCCTAGTAACCACACAGTGAGACAGACCTCTGCATTATACAGTTGCACAGCGCTGTGGTATTCACTACTGTTGAATGAGTAATAGCTTCTGAATCGCTATGGAGACGCATCAGATTCCCTGTGAAACTGTGGCATGATCAACGGAATACAAAGGTGCAAAATTTCAAGTTAGAGCAATCTGTGCCTGAAACGCAGCAGACATGTATTATGAGTAAGTGATCTGGTCTCAACGAGCATAATAATATCAGGAGGGTTTCAAATGACAGATGAGCATGTATGTGTGAGCGCAATAGAGTACGCTTCACTGTGATTAAAGAGATTGTGCAGAAACCTCTTTTGCACCCCCTGTTCTGTGCATTCATCAGACAGGGCTCTTCTTCCTTTGACGGAAACCTGCAGCCAAAATTTTATGAAACACTTGGAACTTGTTCTTTGGCAGAAGTGATAGGGTCTGTTCTGTCTCTGCAGACAAAGTCAAAAATAGGAAAGCAAAGAAAATGGGTAAATCATTGGAAGGGTAAGACATCGTTTAACAAGGAAGAAAGTACGATTCAAGCGGTTACAATGGCTTCAAATCACTGTGTGATCCTTAATAATTCTCTCCCATGCTGAAGACATCAATGGACAAATACTGCAGGGGAGAGCTGGCAGAACAAAACTAGAAAGTCATGCATATCCAGAGAGCCACAGTTTCCTCCCATAAGCCACTCATTCCTTCTGTGAGTACAGAAATGTGGAGTATTTCAGCAGATTTGAAGGTTAGTTGACTATAACGCTTGGCAATTCAAGGGAGATATTAGATATGCATTTCAGATTATTGTAAATGAGCAAGAATATAAACATGACTGTCTATTAACTCTAATTTATCTGCATTCAAATGTTTTACTTAAAACACATTAAACAGGGTCATAATGAAAACAACACATTTTCCTTGAAGATGATAAACTATGAACATACTATATTCAGATCTCACAAGTTTGCTCGACAATTCAAAAAGACCATCTATTGAAATCAAGCTGCAAAAGTGGCTCAAGGCTAATTAAAAAAATCTCTATGGTTGCGATCTCACATGCAGCCATGCACATTTACATATTCGTCACACCTACGGGCTGCTCAGTAAGGGTTAAACAACAAGCTGTTCCTGTACAGAAACTATCGCTTTACAGTATTCTTTTAAAGGATCTCAACATCACAAGCAAGTGGCTGAAATTTAGATTTACAAATTTAGATTTACTAATCACTTTAGTATGACTTTACCAATTTCTGTGGCACATTTCAGCATGAATTTGCAGTCTACAATTGTAGCAGGGAGGTTCTGATCGATATAAATACTGCATTTATTTGTTTGACATGTTTTTTTAAGAAATACTTTTATTAGGATACATTAATAATTAACATTAACAGTATAATAGTATTACAAGATTTCTTATTCAAATAAATGCTGTTCTTACAGCTACCACAAAAATATTAAGCAGCACAACTGTTTTCAACATTCATAACAATAAGAAATGTTTCTTGAGCACCAAATCAGCATATTAGAATGATTTCTGAAGGATCATGTGATGCTGAAAACTGGCGTAATAATGCAGAAAATTCAGCTTTGCCATCACAGCAATAAATTACATTGTAAAATATATTAAAATAGAAAACAGTTATATTAATTTGCAGTAATATTTCACAATATTACAGTTTTTACTGTATCTTTGATCAAATAAATGCAGGCTTGGTCAGCATAAGATACTTCTTTCAAAACCATAAAAAAAAAACTTATCAACCTCAAATTTTTGAAGGGTGTGTAAATATTCCAGTCAAGTTCTTTATAGTCACTGTACAGGTACAAGAAGATTAACCCAAAAGCAGACCCAAAATCAATGCGCTGACCAAGAAATCAAATCCACGTCAACTGCCAGGAAGGCAACTATATTCATTAATATACCGCCAAAGCAGTGATGTGATTTTTATTGCAGGGGTTTTCTTTGACCTTCAACAAATTTCCTTACTTACTCATGGAAAATAAATAAGAGCTTGTAAAAATAATTTTATATAAATTGCTTTGTGAATTTTCAAATCTATGTACTTAGTGTACAAAATGTTTCCAATGAGGCCAAGGAGTCAAGGTTTTGTTGGGGCATGACCTCATTAGATTCTGCAGGAGATGCTGTAAGTACACCATCTGGCAGCAAAAGGCATCTTTCTGCTTTGATGGCCATTCAGAAGGATCTGTTAAATGGATGTGTTGCAAACTAATGTCTTTCTCCATGTGTTCTATAGACCTCCTTGAAATAAGTGCCACAAAAGAGAGACTGATGTTGTCATTTCACTCTACCAAAAAGCAATACCTTAAAGGGATATTCAACAATTAACAATTCGTCTCCTCTGTGTCTCTCCGCATCACTGTAGCGCCATTTTGGAGAATAACCACTGAACGCAAGCAGCGTATGCTATTCTGTGTCAGCCATGACACAAGGATACATTTTCTACGTGTATTTACGCTTTGATTTGAA